TTTCAAAATCCTTTACTTTAATTCGATAGTTAAAAAAAACTCGGGTGTCATAGTTGATAATCAGTAATCACTACGGAAAATCGCCGCTTGTTGCATGACGGTCAGCACTCATTTTTTGTGACTGCGTCTATAGATATTAAATATAGTAAGTATTAAAATCACTATAAAATCGTGGAAAATCGTGGAAAACATTAAAGTAATATTGTTTCCGTATTCGGAGGCGACGCGACGACGATCATTCGACAGTCGACATTCACTCACCCACAAGGCCACAAGTCACAACCCACCAAGCAACCCAGGCCACCCCACCAAACGTAAACGACGCAACACAATGTCACAACTGCATAACGTCGGGTGCGGGCAGCTGTTTTCCAAACCAAAGGCCGTCGCCGTAGAGGTGTGTGCGCGTGCGTCATCAGGCCCCTCGATAACTCGTTCTCTCTTACTTACCGCCTTCCACGTTCACACTCGCACGCACCAGAGTACCACCCGACAAAATAACCGTACCGATCGTGTGCGTACGAGTGCACGCATGCGCGGGCTCGCGAGAGAGGCTCAGACTGCTCAGCGGGAGCGAGTGAGAGCAAGAGAGAAATACTGATATTGCGGTGTTGTCGGTATTGTAGGTGAAGGATGGCACTATGGTAGATAGGCGGGTTGGTACCGCGTTCGAATGATAAACATTAAAGATTCCCGACTGGCTTACTACCAGGCTTGCAATAACAATAATAATAATAATACCAGAAAAATAAATAGTACAAAGGAGTCAAGGTCGTTAACAAACATCCCGCAAAACATTATTATTAGATTTTGGCGGCGGCAATCGGCATTTTGGATTGGCGGTCATTTTTATCGCTTTATAGCGTCCGTATCTGTGTGAGGGTTTGTGTGTGTGAGTGTATGTGTGTGAGAGTGTGTGTGTGTGTGTGTGTGTGTGTGTGTGTGTATGTTAGGATGAGTGAGTGCGCGCGCGCGGTGAGTAAACAAAAACAACTCGATAAATAATAAACGTTCAACGGACAAAGCAAGTGTTTCGACTTTCAAGTGTGTGTTGCGCGCGACCGTTGTCGAGGCGATCTGTGCGCCTTTTTTTCGTTCGACATTTCGACCCCTCATATGTGACCGTACGGCGCTCGAAATCGATACGGCGAGTACCTTGGTTGTTAGCAATCACCAATTTTTTACCGATCGTCGGCGGACTATTATAGACGTCTGACCGTAGGCGTACTGTTATTTTGTCCTGAACGCAAATCGCCATTCGTAATTATTTGCCCTTCGAAAGTCGGTGTCGGCGACAACTTTATACCATCTTGATCTGGACAGGGACCTCGTCACTCCGTATGGACTCCGGTGCTATCAGCGTAAAAATGGAACATTCGATGACATACCTGGATTTCAGTAATATCTGTACACAACGAAAACGGTGCTGCCCCCATAATCGGCGGATATAAACGAGATTGACATTGCAACATTGTAGTATCCACCATGAAACTATTGGAGAGCTCTCAATTAACCGAGCTATCAAGAGCGCTTTGTGTAGACCGAGGAGATGTTAAAGTCGTTGCCAGGTAAAAATTGTTTTTATACTCATCATTCAAATGTACATGTTGGTCTAAATATTTTTTGATATAGGATCGAAAGCTATTCATGCAAAATGGTAGGCGATGAAAAACACAAGTATAAAAAATTTTACTCCCAGAGTGGCACACAGCCAGGTGACCTCGAAGCACTGGGCTGTTCACCCAACAGTGATCCACGATATGGAAGAAGGTATTAAAAACCAATACTGAACTTACTGTTTTATGTAGCTACAGAAAAAAAATTTTATTTAAGTTACCTTATCTCATATTTTTATATTAATATTTAATACATAGGTATTGCCTACATTCTTTCTTTTTATTTCATTATAGATTAAAATATTGGCACAAACAATATTTGAGAATAAAGCAATGAAAATAAATATTATAGGAAATTTGTACTAAACATATTACATGGTTATCAATTAAATTTGTTTAATCTTACTACTTGATAAAACCTAAGGAATTTTTGTGTCATTTCCATAAATTAATGTTCTGACTTCTATAGTAAAAATATACCTAAATTATATAGAAATTTAAAAGAAAAAAATTTTGGAACAAATCTAGTTTAGGGGCCAAGCGATTTTTTCAATTTTTTTTATGGAAACTTATGTATCTCATCGAGTTAAGAACGATGGTGCAATCAGAATTTGTCGCTCTCATTTAGTTCCGAAGTTATGGCCTTCCAAAGTTTTCGATTTTACGTTTATACGCATGCGCGCAACACTACTATAATGACGCGCGGAGGACCATTTTTGTTATTTACCTACCCTTTCAGCAGGCGCGTATAGACTTGCCTAACTTTTATCTACGTATCCCGATTAATACATGGGTTTTTCTACGTATATTTTATAAACACTTAGGGCCGTTCTTACAATGTCCGGTAAAGTGTCGGTTAACGCTAACCGACTGAAAACAGATTTTATTACCGGCAGAATTCGGCCGGTTAAGTGTCGGTTAACTTTAACTGGACATTGTAAGAACGGCCCTTAATAATTTTTTATCTTATCTTATGTATTTTTCAAATTATAACTGATGTATATTATCTGCAAGCGTGGCCACTCGGTCGCTGCGCTGCGCTCGGACAAATTTCCGGAAACTTACCGTTCAAAAGTTATGGCAATTCAAAGTCATTACGCGTAAGTCATTAACACCACCTTAAGTAGGTTACAGGAAAAGTTATGTCGTAGTATATGAGCAGTCATTACGCGTGTGTCGGCACTCGTCGCTACGCTCCTCGGCGCCGTCGCTCCGCTCCGCAAATCGAAAATATCCCCCGACTTGCTATGTAACACCACCTCAAGTATGTCACAGGGTACATAATACATAACTACATAAGTTTCAAAAAAAGAATGTATACCGAATACGTATGTACCAAAAAATAACAAAAATGGTTCTCCGCGCGTCATTATAGTAGTGTTGTGCGCATGCGTATAAACGTAAAATCGAAAACTTTGGTAGGCCATAACTTCGGAACTAAACGAGAGCGACAAATTCTGATTGCACCATCGTTCTTAACTCGATGAGATACATAAGTTTCCATAAAAAAATTGAAAAAATCGCTTGGCCCCTAAACTAGATTTATGCCAAAATTTTATTGTGGGCAACACTTGTTTTAAATATCTAATAAGAAATAAAGAGAGTTGCTGTTTGTGAATATTGTGAAAGTTAAAACATTTTACATGATAGAGAAATAGTTAATTTATTATTCATATAAATCTTAACTTTGGTCATTAAATAATTTGACTCATAATTTATCCATTATCTATCATTGTATGTTTTTATATAATTTTAATACCTGCTTAAAAGTAAGCTTACATTTAATTCAACTAAATTTAATGTATGATTTATGTATGTTTACAGTCTTAGTGTATCTGGAGATGAAGAAGTTTTATTATGTGATACAATATCACGTAAATCTTTATTTTACTTGATTGCAACTCTTAATGCCACATTTGCACCTGACTACGATTTCACAGATGCCAAGTCATCAGAATTTAGTCGAGAACGTAGTTTGCAGGTTAATAATAATTAATAAATATTATGGTTGTTACGTATTCAGAAGAACTAATGATAAAAAAATCCACTAAAATGTAAGAAATTCTATTATTATTTAACAATTTAAAGTGTTAAGTATATTATTCATTTACTAATTAACTTTTATACTGTACTATGAAAAACGGAAATGTTTATAATTAGGTACTCAGATATAGTATAATTTTTTGTTTTACATTTCAATGCTTTTTACATTGCATTATTTATTACATCCAGAATCAAGATAATACATTTTTTCTTATATATTCATTTTTATCAAATTATTAAGTTTAGAAAAACTTTATTTTATGCGATTAAATTCCTGAGTATTGTCATCTTGCTGTCAAATAATATTGAAGCTATAATAAAAGTATTTTAAATATTACAAGTAAAAACAATTCTCTCCTAATTTTTAGCACAAATCACTTTTAAGTTCCCAAAGAATAAATAGCCCATTTGCTGACCTAATAATCATTATTTTAAATTCATTGAATTGTTGACTATTATCAACCATTTAACTTTAAAAAAAGTGTATACTTGATTCTTGATATTTAAAATTTTGTTAGGAAAAATTATTATTACATGGTTTGTTCAAGTCATGATAGTGATTTTTTTTTAAATATTCACAATTTTTATTATAATCTATTATAATCAAATATTAATCAAAACACATTTGTATGATTATTATTACGCCAAATGTTTGTCTTTTTCTTCTTTGTCCAAGACAAATGAAGGAATCAGTTGCACTTCATCTGAAAAATTATCGTTTAATGTCCCAGTTATTTTTATAAGCATTTACTTCATCAAATTTTTCAAATACTACATTCGGTTCCAATTTAAAGTAATTTTATAATAGTTTTAACTTCTGTAAATCAGTTTTAAAGAATACATTTAATATATATCCCTCATTACAAACTTAGAATTACCCATGTACGATTAGATACTTTATATTTATCATGATGAATAATGAATTGAGTATAACATAAGTAATTTAAAGCAACAGAAAATAATAACTTTTATGTTATTATTTTATTATTTGATTTTTCCAATATATTTTTAGTGGGTCATGAGAGATGTGGATAATAACTTATCGGCAGTCATTGTAGAACCTAACACAGCAACATCATGTGTTGCATCTAATCAAATTATTATGATGAATCATCTACAAAGTAATGCAGCTCCCAAAAACTACTCACAGTTACGTGACAAACTCTGGGAAGTAATCGACAAAGAAATTGGCATGTCACAATGTGACATTTACAGGTAATAACCTTCCTAAAACCCAATTATATATTTAGATACATTCTATATTCAATATGTGTCACTTACAGCTATACACCTGACATGCGATCAGATCCATTCAGCGAAGATGGATGCCTGTGGTCATTCAACTATTTCTTTTACAACAAAAAACTAAAAAGAATATTATTTTTTACTTGCCGTCGCATTATTAGGTAAGTTTCAGAAATCTGTACTTATGATTTAAACTGATAAGTTTTAAGATTTATAAATTTTTAATTGATATTTAATTTAGTTTTGGTATAAGAAAAATAATGTGACTGAAAACATTAAAAACTTATGTTCATTATTTCATTATTTTCTCATTGAATCTATTATTTCTCAGATTTAATTGTATATCGTTTATTGATATATAATTCTTGACTTTTTATGTTGGATTAACTTATTTGTTATTTGTTGTACTTTAGTTCTTCATATCCCATGGACTTTGATGGATCAATAGGAACAGGATCAGACTCTATGTTTTTGTCTGATTATTATGATGATGGCAGTGCTGAAAGCAACAGTAGGCATCGCAGAGAACGAAGTCCTTTAAACAATGGTCGCCGTCGAGGGGGAAATAGTAATTTCTGAATGACAAAATGAAAAAAAAATAGTCTTAATATATTTTATCTTGCTGTCTCTCTTTTCTTTTTTTATGCTTTTAAATATATATTAGTACACATCATTAAATAACTATTATTATTCAAAATATAATTATAATGTTAGATATATAATATATACACACATATTGTGTAATTTTACACATTTGCACTTTTTAATTGATATTATGTGTGAGTATAATATTAAGATTGTAAATCGTTTTACCTTTGAGTGGTAATATAATAGTGTGGTGGATCTCAGTTATTGCATATTTATATAGTCATGATTGAATTTTATTGTCGGCAATTGAGTTGATATTTATTTATATTTAAATTTATTAACAAACGATTATACTAAACATTATTTAAGTATGGCATTATTATGATATTAAAGGTTTATGAAATTGTATTTCCAAAAAAAAATTTAAGTTTATTTTATCTATGAATAAAATTGTTTAAATCTAATATTATTTATTACAGTAACAAAGTATTATTATTATACACATTTATGTACCATTGAAAGCCCTGATCTTTACCTTAACACTGTTTTATTTTTTTTACTGGTTAGATAAAGTTTAGTTTGTATGACCATAGTATTATGAACAAATAATTTATATACTCAAAATGTAATGGATGTATGAAATAAAATATATTGTCCAAAGATAAATTGTATAATTATGTTTGTTTTTATAACTTCTCAATTTGATACATTATTTTTCCATTAAAATTAAAGTCTTAATAATTTTAAACTTAAAAATTATCTTTTTAAAATTAATTTTAATTTCAATGATATAATTTTAAAGTGTATACAAATACAATTATACTAGAATTAGCATTATTACTATTATATTAGCAAATTTTAGGTCATTTTACTGGTGACATTTCTTTTCATTACAAATTATTTTTCAATACCGGTTTTTAAGACAAAAATTCATGGTTTTGTTTACCTAGTTGATTGATAAACATTTGAAATAAGTACTAACTTTAAATAGTAGCATATCAATTTTCTAAAATTAGTTACCTATTCATTATGAAATATGTATCATTATTATCATATTATTTTATTCACTAACTTATCTGTAGTAACCATTTACAATATGAACCAAATAAAAAAAAAAATAATAAAACTGTGTAAAGAACTGTACTGTAAGAAATATTGGTACAAAATACAAACATTAATTATAATTACAACATTATTTATGAAAGTTTAAATAAAAAAAATATATTTCCTTATCCATAAATACACAGTATTTCTCAAAATGTTTAACTATATATTACAGTATATCATGTCCAATATATATTTATTTATAGTTACTTAACTTAATATAACAGTATATAAATATGTAGTTAACATTGTTTTTTCTTATAAAAATGAGTTAGGAGTTTAGGACAACATAAACAAAGAAATAAGAACTGTGATTAATTTGTTTGATCTCATAACATATTGCACTGTACAAGCTGCTTTAATTTAAATATAATATATTTGACTTATAGGTATGCCTACAACAATAATACATTTAAACCAGAGTTGGGCAAAATTTTATCTAGATAATTATTCGAATAAAAAACTATTCGAATGTTTTTTTTACAATTATTCGAATAAAAAACTATTCGAATAATTTTCAACTATGATTATTCGAATAAAAAACTATTGGAATAATTTTCATCTATGATTATTCGAATAAATTTTAAAGACGGTTATACGAATAATTCTTAGTTATTTAATTTGATTAAACATACCTAGTTCATAATAAAATAATTTTTTTAGATATTGCTATTATCGATCTATTAGGATTGTTGTAATAATTGTTATGAAATATTACCATTAAATATTATTCATATTATAATATTATAAAACTATTGTTAAAATATAATTTAAAAAAACATATCTAATTTTCTAATTATTAACTTTCTTCTATTGATAGATATTTGTTTATTGTTTATTCGAATATCTATGTTTAAAATTGAATCGGTTAATTTTTTATTCGAATAACAATAGTTGAAAATTATTCGAATACATTTTTATTTGAATAATTGTAAAAAAAAATATTCGAATGATTTTTTATTCGAATAATAATAGTTTAAAATTAATCGAATAAATTTTTATTCAAATTATTGTAAAAAAAATTATTCGAATAAATTTTAATTCGAATAATTCTAAAAAAATCATTTGAATAAAATGTTATCTAAATAATCATCTAGATAAAATTTCATTCGAATAACGCCCAACTCTGATTTAAACTTATTAAATATTAAGCTATTACAATTTCATAGTTCTGCAAGGATGGGAAAGTTAACTAATTGTTTTAACTCGTTAAGTTAATATTGAAAAATATAAATTAAGTTTATAGTTTATAGCTTATACAATGTATGGTTCAAAGTTACTTTTCTTTTATTTACTTGTATAATTTCAAGTTCATTAGAAAATAAGTAAATTAACATGGTTAAAAACCAGTTACTTATTAATTATTATCATGTAAAATTTAAAATTGTACCTTTTTTTAAAGTTTAACAAATAACATACAAATATAATATAGGTACAATTAAAAAAAAAAAAATTATTCATTGAAATCAATTGTTGCTAGTAATTAAGTACTTAGGTACTTTAATCTGACAAAATCTACCATAATAACTAAATAATTATATTAATGTATTTTTTACAACTAAGTAATATTATTTCATTTAGTTACTAATATATCGTAATATTTTGCAACTTTTTCTGAAGTGATAAAACCTTTAATTTTTTTTGAGATTGAAAAATTACTTGCGTTTAATTTTGGGAGATAACAGATTATGTAATTTAATGGTTATTGCAACTGAAAAATAAGAAGCAGTTGCACTAGATTTTAATGAAGCTGTAGGTAGTTTTACTAAATTAAAATCTAGAAGACTTCCCTTATTATAAATTGTAATTCATATTTATATAATTATATTTATATACACATTACTTATTAATTATATTTTTTGCTTTATATAAATTTATGAAAATCTATTATTTAGTTCTTTTTTTTATTTATTTTATTCTGTATGGATTTAATACAATAAATAATAGAATGATACTCTACTAGGCAAGCAACTTTGGTATTGCTTTAGATTTTCAATATTGGTTTTGTATACCATGAAAAAATTCTAAATGGCGCTTTTCTTAACCAAGCATTCATATTTTAATTATCAGCATAATTAATCATTAGACATTGTTAATACATAATACTTTAATTTATAGTAATACTTACTAATCTTAATTGTTCGAAAAATATAATTATAGGTAATAGCTATTAATTAAATAATGAGTATACAAATGTGTATTGAATGCTGGATACATTAGTTAAAGGTATTTTTTTTTCTCAATAATGGTTACCCATTTACCCTTGAGGCACTAACTGTTCTGTTTAATATTCATTACCTATCTATATTATATATTATAGAAGATGCAATCCTACTATTATTATAAATTATTAGTTATTACTTAGGTAGTTATTTATAAGTTATAACTTATTACTAGACTATTTACATTAATAATACCTAATTTATTCATTTCACATATTTTGTATACGTTATTTTGATGAATATGATGGAGTCCATAAAAAGAACAAAAAAATTTGACAGTAGAATTTAGACATTTAGTGGATATTTACCTACCTATTTAGAATACATAATATAACATTATAATTTATAGGTTATATATTTTAATTTGTATGTATTAAAAATCTATGGGGTTTTTATTAGAAATAATATTGATTTAAAGTGACAATACAATTAGTGAACTAATAAGTAACTGCATATAATGGAGAACAATTTAACTGTTAAGTCTGAAATTTTTTTTTTTTTTAAATTACTGTAACTTATTTAAAAACAACTTAACCCTAACTTTTTAACTCTTTCATTACTAACCCTATTAATTAATAACAATTGGAATTCCATATTATTTACAAATACCACTTTAATTATTATTGAATGTGGACGACGATGTGTTTATAACTTTTTTTTTATGCTGCAATTAATAAAATATTATTTACAATTATTATATATAAATACTTTTATTATAATATAATATGTTTGACTGTCTGAAACATTGTCATGAGACTATTGTCATTTATCACAACCATAGTAAATGTGATAGTATATATTTGAATTTAAACTTATAGGTAAGTTCTATCTATTCCAAAAAATATTTAGGAGGAGTGAGATGATGACATTTTTAAGTTTTAACTACAATCTACCAGTTTGACCATCAAATCCACATATTAACCACAGAATAGGTGAAATTGTATTAGGTATATTCTACATAAGATAATCACCTGATCACTGCAATTCATCACATAAAAAATAATCTTAAATATTAATTACAAATTCATGATTAAGAATTATGATATTACATGTAACTAACAAGTATACTAATTCACTATTTCCATTCTCCTGTTCTAACAATATATATGAGATAGTATAATTCTGTTCTACCTACATTATAATTAATAACTGATACAGTTTTTCAAAATCAAACTAACAGCTAATTTTTAGTATACCTACACACTATATATTAATATATTTATTATTAAACAATATTATCATTTTTTTTTTTTTTTTAATAAAAATTCTTAACTCGTCTAGTGTCAACAATTATCATAGGTACCAGTTTATTATATATTAATAATATGTATTTGTGTATCCGAATATAGTGTGTCAATGTATTGTTACTCATTGTGAATGTATTATGCCATTATGGTGATAAGTATTAACAAAATAAATGTAGTTACAAACAGCACAAACAGCACAAACAGTGGGGGGGTAGTGGTTGGACCTACCTGGATTTTCCTGGCTATTTTAGAGGCCAATTGATATATATTTTTATTTTTTTTATATTTTTACTTGACATAAACAATCTATACAAATTAGCACTATAAGTTTATATGATGAGAGTGGTATATGACATGAAACATATGAATAAGTAGCCACCCGTCAAGTCAAGTCGGACCATCACTGCAACCTACAGAT